ACATTAGAGAATGTGACAAGAAGCAGGATTATGTAAGGGGAGGAAGGAGACTTGCCATGTATTGGGATAAAAATACCATGAGGCCAATTCTTCGTTTGTCTATTTAATAACTAACAGAGAAAATTCAACATGAGTAAAACTAGGATTGTGCATTTAGGATGTATGTGTATAAATGAATTTTCTGAAAAACAAGAAGGTTTTGTCATGCAAGTCATAGCAGAACTATCACACCTACTAGTGTTTAGAGATGAGAATGTGGTCTTGAGATAACCAGTTGTAATGTCTCTAGTTGCCAAGATAGGCATATACTACCAACTTATATAAAACTTTAAAGTAACTTTTAGATTAGGCCAAGTGCCTTGATATTTGTGTTTTGAGATAAAGTATTCATGGAAAAACACAATCTTATTTACAATGGCACATGGCCAACAGTCTGATATGTTAAGCAAGTTGCATAGACAAGGAAACTTAATTGAGATGTCAGAGCACAGCAATCAAATCTTTGAACAAATTCTAACCTCAGCTTTCTGGCCTTCGTTCAGGAAACAGGGGATAAGATTCCCTGAATGGGCAGGGTATCTACAAAATAGAAATTAGCATCATAGTCCTGCAAAAAGAGTTACAATCTTTCCTTCCTATGATCACAGGTTACACACAGTGTAGAAAAATGTATTTTAAAATTTTAAGTGATTTTAATGTCACTGTGCCTTGGGGAATGCTGAGTGTTCTCTGCCCTACTCCTTCCACTTGCCCTTGCAGCTTGTTCTGAAGACAAATTTGCAAACAAACAGGTCTTTAGTCTGAAAATTTTTTAGCATTCATGACCACTAACCACAAAGTGTTTAAAATTTTTTATGTGGAACTGGAGAGATGTCTTGGTGCTTGAGCATATAGGTTGGTTTTGTAAAGGTCCTGAGTGCAATTTCCAGCCACTACATGGTGGATCACGACTGTGTCTAATGAGACCTGGTGCCCTGTTCTGGAATACAGGAATGCATTCAGGTGGAACACTGCATATAAAAATAAAATAAAATAAAATACAAACACTCAGAAATATAGGATATAATACACAATTTCATTATTTCTCTCAGTAGTTTAGTTGTACCTTTGTAGATTAGATAAAAAAATACTCCTCTTTTAGCAGCTACAGTTTGCAACACATTAGTTAGGGATTTTTATGGAAAAAAGTACTCCTTTTTTTGCTATGTGGCAATTAATCTAGATTTATTGCTTAGAACTGTCCATAGTACTCTTTTTTATAATCTAATAAAAATGGTATGTGAACTTCAGATGTAATTCCTTCAAAAGCTGTGAAGAACAAAGAGATCCAGGAGATACTGGATGAGGAAGAAATGAGCAGAATGGCATCACAGAAGAAAAAACTGGCAGGGTGGTAGAATGGATGAATCTATCACGTGAAAACAAAGAGTGCTTTCGTTCAACAAAATACATGCTTGAACCAGTCTTTCCTCTGAAATCGCTCATATAAAAAAATCCCAAGTTTACTATTCTATGGAATTTTTCCACCTAAACTTGCATGAAGCCCAGAAGCACATTCTTTTGGACTGCTGTATTAAACCAATTTGTTTCTTTGGACCCTTTAATTGGAACATTGTTAAATGGATCTTTTGTTCCATAATTGTCTGTTTCCTTTATTGTCTTTTGGCCTGAGTGGCCAAGAATTCAGGTGATTGACTGGTTGTCAGGTGGAATAGAATTGCTTCAGCTGAGGTTTGTAGGTATTCGGATGTCTAGATCCAGCTTATTAACCTGTACTTCTGGTTGGTGTAGACTTTACTTGTGCCTATGGAGTCTGTTCTTCCAACTGTTATAGGTTTTGCTTGTGCCTGTTCTTCTTATGTGTGTGGGTGGTGCTAGTGTCTGTTCTTCTGAGTGGTGTGGGGGGCACTAGTGCCTGTAGGTTCTGTTAATGTTGCTGGGCAGGGCTCTTTGATGGGAGGTTGCTCTTTTTCCAACTGTTAGCTGTGGTGCTTGTACCTATAGGGGCTTTTCCTCCAGTTAGTTAAGATAGGAATTTTGTCTTTAGGGGCAGCTGATCTTGCAGGGGATCATTGTGGAGGAGGAGAATGACGGGTTCACAGGCTTTGTGCAGCAGAGTGGGTCTTGTAGGTTACAGTTTTTAATGATTGTGAGAGTGGTGGAGCAGCCTTCAGGACTATTACCTGCTAGCTGGATTCCGGGGCTGAGATCGGAGGGGAAAGGCAGGAAATGTGCCCTAAGTCTTAAGGACTAGAAATTGGGGCAACTTAGCCTGGAGAGCAGTCACTCACTTCTTCTTCCAACCTGTGCAGGAGGTGCATGTGTGTTTAGGGGCTGCTCATCTTGGGGGCAATTTTTGACCAGGGGGAGAATAATGTGTTCAATGGGTTTGGATGGCAATTTGGCTCTTGTAGGTTACAGTGTCTAATGAGTGGCAGTGATGGAAGTGCATCCAAATCAACAACTTAGATATAACATGATAGAAATTTGTGTGGACAGACTAGCAGGAAGGAATTTGGATTTTGTTGTTGTTGTTGTTGCTCATGAAGAAACGTGGACTAACAGATGAGTTTGGGGAACCATCCAGACCACATATACCACATTGTTTAAGAACAATGTCATCAGCAAGTAGATGGTAGAAGACAACAAATGGTCAAATGGGAAAGAAGATACACTATCTGAAATGAACAAGTATGAGCATTACGAATCTTTAAGGTGTTTTAGACACATGTTTGGCTATGAAAATATGCCATGAGAAGCTGTATTTAATTGCTTGCATTATTGATATCACAGAACATTGGAAGTTCACACATATAGTCTCACCATATATTGAAGTGACTTTTGTGAGTGGTATCATTGTATTGATGGGGGGATTAGGAAGGGATAGTTGTTTTTTATGAATTGACAGCCACTTTTGATCAATCTGTACTGTAGGCAGTATTCTAACTGGTACTTTTTCTAACTTTCCTCCATCAAATGCAGCAAGGAAAACCAATCCCACTAAAGAAATGAAGGAAGAAAATGTACCACATTTTCTCTATCCATTCTTCAGTTGAGGGGCATCTAGGTTGCTTCCAGGTTCTGACTATTACAAATAAGGCTGCTATGAACATAGTGGAACAGATGTCCTTGTTGCATGTATTTGCATGTTTTAGATATATGCCTAAGAGTGGAATTGCTGGGTCTTGTGATAGACTGATTCCCATTTTCCTGAGGAATCTCCATACTGATTTCCAAAGTGGGTGTACCAGTTGGCACTCCTACCAGCAGTGGAGGAGTGTTCCCCTCTCTCCACATCCTCTCTAGCTTAGTGGGAGGCTGTGAGGGATGGTGAGGGGGTGCGGGAAGAGGAGAGAGAGAGGGAACTGGGATTGACATGTGAAGCAAGCTATTTAAATTAAAGTAATAAAAAAGTTTAAAAAAAGAAATGAAGGAAGAATATTTGAAATTGACTAGTGCACACATAAGTTCCTATTGAAAAGTTTTGAATGTCTGCAAACAGTTAATACCACTGTCAGTCTCTGTAAAATAACCTGAGTTCAGAGCAGTTCAGATTCATGTATTTGTTTAGAAAAATGGTGATTAAATATCCTTAGAAATACTAATGAAATGCAATGGGCCATTTTAACAGTCATTGAATTGTTTCCTGTCACAGAGCAGTGTCCTAAATGAAAGTGTTGATATTGTGCTTGCAAACTTGGTAGTTAGTAATCTATACTCATGGGAATTAGAGCATGTTTTTAAGTAAATCCAATTATTTAAACATAAATAGTCAATCTGAAGGAAGTGAATAACTATGGTTTAGGATGCTATATTTAAATAACACAGAGTATGAATTTAATTTACCAAAGTAGTTTTCATTAACAGGCAAAAATTATTATGGCATGGAAATGGAAGAAAAAATAAGAATAATATTTCAGAATATTCCCTTAATCCACCTATCTATGTTGTAAGGACAAAACATCTCATAATTTTGATGAGATTCACAATAGTGAATAAAATTCATGAAAATATTTAAGTTTTAGTATGTGACTGCTCGTTATTTAATTATATTTTCTATATTGTATTATATAATAAAGTTATAAAAACCTATGTCCAGTATTTCGGGACATTCAGTGGTCTCAGCACTTGTCATGTGCAACCAGAAAATATAGAAGCATGAACTCGTTCTGTATAATCTCACAGGTTCAAGCCCAGCTTGTGGAACACAAGAATGCATCTCAGACAAACATTCATTTGATTTTCAGTTAACATTGAATTGTTTTGTTTAAACTTCATAGACTTATACCTGAAATCCAGCATAGACATTGTCATCATTTAACCAATAATCAGCTATTGCTTATTTTACTAATAACATGATGTTCAAATAATTGCTGTTTGTCTGATATAGTTTTAAAATATTTATTAGGTAGGTGTTTAAAGAAAAATAAGATTGCAGACACATGGACGTTTTAAATGAGTGAATGTCATGTGCCTGAGGTGTACTTAAATACAAAGTGGGAGAAATTATCCTGTGGCAAGAACTCAATAAATTGTCTCCACATCTGAGGGTTCTAGTTCTCATGACAAAATGCATACAGACTAATTTGTGAAACTCATCTTTAACCCGAATCTTAGTATTGACATTCAATTTAAACTTCTTCTAGCCAAGGATGCCTTTTGGAATTAGAATACAATTTTAGTGATGCCAACATATTCAATTATTCATATTAAAATTGGAATTAACATGTAGCTCTTAGGTCTTGGTCATGTATAAATCAGGATGTATGACCTGTCAATGTTGATATTCTTGAGACACTTAGTGCAAACTGTCCTCTTTCACGTGTAATTTTACCAAAGGTTGGCATGGATCATAGGATTAGAGTTTAGTGAAGCAGAACCTTCCAGAATTGTTCTCCTTGACACATTCAGGAACATTATATTCCAATGATTTCTTATGCCATGCATTTAAATACTGACAAGCAGACTGTTCTGAAAATTCAGAACAAACAGCTAAATGAAAGGATCAGTGAAAAAGAGATCATCGCACATCCTGCTCACTGAAACGATTTGCTCGTGTCTTCAGTTTGTCAGTTCACTGACAGCTGAGAAACTCGGGATTTCTAGTCCAGAAGAAAGAGAAAAATTTGGAAGATGAAGGTTCTTCTTCGCTATGCTCTAGCCTGTTTGGTGTCTGCCACTGAGGAACTCTTACCGGTACAAGGATGGGCTTTCAGGGGATTATGCAAGGGCAAAAATAACTGTGGTGTATTTGACAATTTTTGACCAAATAACCATTCTATGAAAATATTGGTACTCCCAAAACTTTTGTAATATAAATATCTCCATGTCTTGAATATTTTTGTTTGAGTAGTAAGATTATAATTACCTCATTTGAGCTTCCTAAAATACCTAATACTATTTTTCTGTCAGGCTATGATAGCACATGCTGTAATTGTAGCACTCAGGAAGGTAAAGGTAGATGGATTTCTGTGGATTCCAAAAGAGCCCCGTCTACACAGTGAGTTCCAGGAAAGCCGAGCTACACAGAGAAACCCTGTCTTACATAATAAAAAATGCCATGTTTTCTTTACTTATTTTTCTATCCACTTTAGCATAATTGACCATATGTTCATAGTTGATTATTAGTACAACATTTCATAAAATAATTTACTGTCCTACAAGAATTCATGGATGATTCTGATAAACATAATAGAAAAATTTAAATAAATCTAATACGTGCCTGACAGATTGTATAAGATGTATATGACACATGGATATCTGTAAATTTTAGAATCATCCTACTGTGGTCAATGTTTGGGATAAATGTTGATATAAATTACAATCCATTTATGTTTCCAATGTAAGTAGGTGATTTCTTGATGTTTCTGTGTTGTGGATGTTTGAGTGAGTGTGTTTCCTTGACCAGGTATTCACAAACATTACAGCAAAGATGTAGAAACCAGTAGCAAAACATTTTAACAGGTGCTGTTTAAAATCCTTTTTTCTCTGATCAGAGCGATTGCTCCATTGAAATTGATCCTAATACCTTGGCAACAAAGAAGTTTTATTGTCCATATATGCATGAAATGCAATTTGTATGTGAATTTTACTATGTTTTCTTTTAGATTATTTATGTGCTTTGAAGTTGCTTTACATTAGGAACCGACAATCTATAATTTATTCATTTTCCTTAATATTATTGTTCATGATTTAAAACTATTATCCTTTATTAAATATATGTATATGTTTTCAAATAATATGTCAGGCATTTTATTGAATGAAGAGAAATATACATTAGTGATCTTATTACATTATATTTGTGATAAATTTCTATATTATAATATAAAAGTACTGTCTTTTTATTTGAAAATCTATAATTTACTCATAATTTCTAAACACTGCTTTATCTTAAAGTTTTCACTAATTTTATTTTTTTATTTTATGTGTATGGGTGTTTGTTCTGCCTTTTGAATTTTGTATATGCTCCATTCTCAAATGCCATACTATATTGCTAAGTAATGAAGTTATAGTAGTTTGTGTGCCAATGTGTGGGTGCTAGGGCTTGAACCAAGATTCTATGATTAATTTTTCAGTTTTATGGAATCTCATTCATATTCATTTTTAGATTTCAGGGAATTTTAATACCATCTACCTGGATTCCAAAGTTGACAGAGTGACATACGAAAATAGTTAATTTAGGATACTGATGCGTGAAGTAAATTATTTTAAGAATTACACATCCATGGGCATGACGTTTTATGTTAGGTAAGAAAATTTTATTAAATTAGAAATAATTGTTTGTTGAAATGGGATGCAAAGCATTCCCCATATATTTCTTAAATGGGAAGATTATATGGATTCAATTCAATTGTAGCTGGAATTGAGTGTCAATGTGTCTAAACATCATAAACCTTAGCATTCATGTCTTGATATTTTAATTTTTCTTCATTTAAAATAGCGAAAATATGAACTCAAGGACTAAAGAATACATCATGGAAAGAAAAAATGTTTGCTGAATGTAAAATATTAATATAAAATATTAACATATGTGAATATAAGTAATGGAAAATTTGAGATGGTAAATACTAAAATAAAACAGTGTTTATAACCTCACCTTGAAAAGCGCTCCTCTTCTTGAAAACCCTCTAGATATTTGGACACCTACCATTGCATCAATAAGATTACTAATGTCAGTTTTTGATGTGGGAAATACTTTCAAATATGGGTCTGAGGTCCATTTTCATCCACACATCTCAATATGCACAGAAAATTGGTCTACACCCAAAAGAAATCATTGGTCAAAAAGACTATTAGTGAAAATACTTACAAACCATTACAGAAAAAAGGCACATGATAGGGAACATATATCACTTTCAGCAAGTTTATTCTTCTTGTGTCAGAAACACACAGGGGTTGGTAAATGTTAAATAATGAGTGATTATTATTTGTTATATTTTGTTTAGAAAAATGGGAAGTGCGAACTACACATGATTTGGGCAGAGAAATTTCATGTCCTTAACTGCTATAGGAAATGTGAGTATCTCTGGTTGAGAATTGATGGTACTTATATTTTCTGTAACCAATCAGATATTTATGAGGAATTATATTTAGCAGATAACTGGTCCATTGTGTTTCAACTTAAAGATTATTTAAAAAATGTAAAATGTCCCAAAAGGAATGGTGCTGAGAAAATGACAACAGCATTTGAGACGGTAACTTGAAAGTGGGTGGTGGGTGGGATGAGTGCATGAATCTCATGAGGCCCACCCCACCAGTCATCATGAACAGATATATTGCCCCTATATCAATGGCATTCAGTGGTGGGGTTAATTAGTCACATTCATGCTCCAAGATTTTTGTGTGAAGTTATACCAATTTAAAATAATATTATATATACAAAGAACTATGGCAAATAAAGATCCCTGAGAGTGGAAGAATTGTCTGGCTCAGGGATGTGATCTCTCATTGGTTATCCAGTAGCACACTGTCTGCCCTGAAATCATATACACCAAAACAACACGAAATGGTCTCATCATGTGTCTTTTATACATTTACGTGACATACATTCATATTTACATATGCAACAATAATAATTATTAAAGAAGGTTGTGAAGGGGAAAAGGAGTAAAGTGTATATTAGTGGTTTAAAAAAGGAAAGTCTTATGACCAAGAATGTAGCTATATTTGAATATATTTTATATATATATTGATGTAAAGTAAATACATATTTTATATTATATCATAAATTTTATATAATATATTTATAGTCATTTAACTAATATAATTGCTAATGTTTCAATAATATTAAATGTATATTTAAATATAGCTTGATATCCATATGCTGATATAAATATATTAAATATATGTTATATATCTGTACATATAACATATAATTGCATCGTGTCAGTTTGAATAGAAATCACTCCATAGGCTCATATATTTGAATTCTTGATTATTAGGGAGTGATGGTACTGGAGAGGGATTAGAAGGTTGGCCTTAGTGGAGTCTATGTGGCCTTGTTGGAGGAAGCGTGTCACTGTGGTTGTGATTCTAGATTTTAAAATTCAAGATAGATTAAGGTTTTCTACCTGCTACTAGAACATCAGAATGTAGAACTCTCTGCTCTTTCTCCAGCAATATTCCTGCAAGTGGCTATGCTACCCAACATGCTGATAACAATGTTCAAAATGCTGAAACTATAAGCAAGCCACAATAAAATACTTTAATTTATGACAGTTGACTTGTCATGATGTCTCTTTACAGCAATAGAACACTGACTAAAATTTGTACCATAACTGCTTTATTCTTAGAATTAAAAAAATTCTAAACAAAAATTTATAAAACAGAATGTTTTTTATTGGGAGTTGTTAAAGTGAATTAAATTGAAATGAAGAGTCTAGAAAGTTCCAGAAATCAAAACTGTGGATCATCAGTGAAAAAATACTTGAGGTAGCTATCTAGTTATCATAATGGATTTCAAATATTCTGACAGCTGTACAGTATTGGTGTGCCTAAATTCATGAGTCCAGATCTAATAATCCTTCCTATCATTTATAAAACTCCAAATTTAATATTCACCCTGAAAGTTCACAGCTGTGTTTGTCCTAATTGATCTTAGAGAGAAAGGGGGGGCAACACCTCCCTCTCTTGTCACTCAGCTTTAAATGTGTTAGCCAGTGTTCAGTGGGGCTGTTGTTGTCCTACACATGATAAATTTTCTTACACTCTCAAAATAGGAGTGTTTACATTTCAGCAAGCTTATACATTCCCACATTTTCCTATGAGATTTTCACAGAAAATAAACCTTATGAGTTACAAAATGAAAAATTGACACAACATATCTATTGGTGCACATACACCATTGGTTTTGGAAAGGATAAGGACCATCTATTTGTTGAGTAAATTGACTTTATTTTCTTAATATTCTTCTCCCTTGTAATTGGCTTTATTCAGTTTTCAAATTCAGGAGACTTATAACGTTTCTCTTGTGAAAGAACTAGTAGATCCTCCCACAAAGAGCATCACAAAATGGGCATGATGTGAGTCCTGTGCAAGCTCTTGGATCTGCTTTATGTTTAGCCTTACTTTTGTATTGTTCTCTAAATATGAGAAAAAAACTGTGTACCAAATTGTACCATAAGGTATAATATTCACGGTACAATAGTGTTAAAGTTTGCCAATAAGGGGACATTCATGCTTCTTGGTTAAAAGAATGGAATGAGTCTTTAAGTATAGACACTTTAACTTAATGAAACAAAAACCGTTCAGGTAGATGCTTAAAATGTCTCCATCAACTTGACCATTGAGAAGTCTTTTAGTGTATTTTCCTGATTGATAGCTGATGGTGGAGGGCCAATCTCGCTGTGGGCAGTGACATCCCTGGGCTTATGATGGTCCTAATGGTGCTATAAGAAGACAAGCGGAGCAAGTCAGGAGGACCAAGTTAGTAAGGCTCAGTTACTGCTTCAAAGTTCATTTCCAATCTCCTTGAATAATTGAATCAGCAAAACTTTTCCTTCCAAAATTTCTTTATAGGCTGTGATGTAATGATTTAGTTAGGATTTTTTCTTCAAGACAGGGTTTCTCTGTTTAGTTTTGGCTATCCTGGAAGTCACTCTATAGAGTAGTCTGACATGGAACTCTAAGTGATCTGTCTGCCTCTGCCTCCCAAGTGCTTGGATTAAAGTTGTGCCCTACCATGGCTAAGATTTTTTTGACATGTCTGTCATGACAAATTTTTTCCAGGAGTGTGTGCAATTCACCTTAGCTACTCATGTTCCTTTAAGTGTTGGAAAGTTTCATAAGAATTTTGAAACTTGCAACTGAAATTATCTGATAATTAAATTTTTCTGGAATCCTGCATCTTGTGTATGTGACCTGGCCTGACAGCACCCTTTCTCTCTGTGTCTCTGTATCTCTCTGTCTCTGTCTCTGCCCCTAGCTGTCTCTCTCTTATATACACACAGGAAACAAACACACCATGTTTGAATTATCCATTGTGCTAAGTATTCACATACTCACAGTCTGCTACTGGCCATCTATATTTTCTTTCTTAAACTGTGTGAGTCTGGCACTAGTGTTCCTCCTTTAAAACAAAGCCAAGCCATGCTTCTGAATATACTCTTTCCAGGTTGTTAACAGTTCTTTGTTGTGTTGGCAACATTAAGTCCCTTGGGGAAATATTTTAATTTGGGCAGATAAACACGATTTTGATGACTGAAACTGAGACTTGGGGTCAAGACTGGAATAAGCATTAAATCCAGGCTTTCAAGCAAATACTCTGTCCTACTTGTCTATATACCGCTTCTATTTGTCACTGGTTTCAACCAGAATTGCCCAGCTCTTTTGGACCATAGAAAAAAAGCACTCAATCTTGCTGAAATCAGGAACACAGCTCAGGCTGAGTCTACCTTACTCTGAATATGCCGAGATGTCAACAAAATACTGGCATAATACATATATACTGTGAATCAACCTGGGATACATCTGCCCCAAATGATGTGACAGACCTTGATGATTCCCTATGGGAAGCCTTGTACTCTCTGAGGAGTGGTGGTGGAGTGGATGGGGAGATGATATTGGGAGTGGGAGAATAGAAGGGTGAGGGAACTGGGATTGGTATATAAAATAAGCTTGTTTTTTAATTTAAAAATTTAAATAATAAACAAATTGACTTGGATGCAAACCATTCCATAAGATCTGTTTTTCTATATTATCTCTTCCTTGTTTTTATCATAGTGCAAAGTTCTGACAACTTTCACAGTTACCCATGATGCACAGTTCTTACTTTAGATTCAGAATCTGGCTTCTGGTACCCTGTGGTGTCAGGATTACTTTGTTACTTCAAGCAACTTGTACACTGACCAATGGAACATTACAGCATTTGCAGTAATCACAGACTGACTTCCAGGAAATTTAAAAGATGATCTGTCACTTTTCAGATCTTCTGGTGAGAACTTAGTCTTGACAAAATCAAAATCAGTTTTATTATCCTATGAAACTGTAACTATTTAACTTTACCTGGTCTCCAATGTCTCTCTATAGCAAGTTATTTTTCTTTAATATTACCAATTTTTAATATAACTTGGTAAAATAGGTTGTTTTTATTTGGTAGATTTCTTTTTATTGTTTTGAGTAAGTGTGTGTCAGTAAACAGAAATGCTTCTGTTATTAATAAGTAAAATTAATAAACACTTGTATTATATTGGATATGCAAATATATTATTTATGATCTAATAAAGCCATTGAGGATCAAAATGCAAACCTAGCCAGCACCGTAGAGTCTGGCAGTAGTGAGGCACACATTAATCCCAGTAGACATACTATTTAGCCATAGGAACCAGGCAGTAGTTACACACACCTTTAATGCCAGGACTAAGAAGACAGACATATGGATCTCTGTGAGTTTAAGGCAACCCAGGTCTGCACAAAATGGAATCAGTCTAAAAGAAAAAAACAGAGCTCACACTTTTAATCCCAGCACTAGGGAGGTATAAAAGGAATAAGCTAGGATTCTCATGTGAGATTTAGTTTCCAGACAGAGAAATCACTAGGATTCATGTAATCTAGGATTCATGGGGACAGGACTGACTGCCATTTCAGCTTGATAGAGGTAAGAGCTACTGGCTTGGCTGCTTTGCTTTTCTCATCTTCAGCCTGAACTCCAATATCTTTCTCTGGGTTTTTTAATCATTCATGTTACAATTGGAGCCCAGAATGAGGCACAATTCCAGGACCGTGAGATTAAGAGTTTCATGCTTACCAAATGTACTAGCAACACCACATTTGGAACATTAGGATTACCATGAGGTTTTAAGGAATAAACAAAAATATGATTTTTAAAATAGATTTAACATACATGTAATTTTAGTATTTATTCATGACAAATTTGAATAAAAGAATAATGTGTTTGTTAACTTTTATGTAAAGGATTAAATTACATGATTGCAGATATTTCTCAGTTATTAAGAGGACTTTCTGCTCCACTGGATGACCAAACATGGGTTTCCAGCATCCACATGGAGGTTCAGTAA